TCTCACTCTCTCTCTCTCTCTCTCTCTCTCTCTCTCTCTCTCTCTCTCTCTCTCTCTCTCTCTCTCTCTCAGTGTGTATATACAGTATAACAATTCTACACGTAGACCAATGCATAGACTCGATACAATTCAAGGATGATTCATCAACAAGTTTCACAATTTGGTTCAGTGGGATTACGTTGCCGATATGATTACAAACAAGACTCCATTGAGACCTTTAATCCCTCGTCTTGAGAAGGTACTGCCCGATACAAGAAGAGACCACACAAGAGTAGATGAGGTGGTGTTCAAAAACCAAATGGCATATTGCTTCTACTCGACCGCAATGTGGGGGCGTAATGGACTCTGAGTAGCCAGCTTGACCTCATGTTGCTACGCACATAACATCATACCATGCCTGTTTGGACTGGCATGTACAAATGTACACACACAGGCGGATTCTGGCTTATTATTTCAGTAACACAGTTGTGGGCCTCTCAGGCCTTCCATCCAACAATATAAAAAAAAAGAAATGCAGGCACTGTATGTGTTTTGTCAAGCAAAAGCAATACAGTGGATGTCAGTTGTCTTCCAAGTTCGTATTTTCCCAGAGGAAATCATTTAAATGGAATTTACAGTGGAATATAGAAAAGTCTACATACTTCGGTCCTAATGGTAGGATTTTGTGACGTAATAAATTGAGACCAAGATCATTTTTTTCAAAACTTTTCCACCATTATTGTGACCTGTAGCTGTTCAACTCAATTGAATTTTTAAAAATCCTTGCATGAGAATAAATGAATAAATAAACAACATAAACAACTCTTTTTTTTATTTCTTTTTTTTTACAAACAGTAGTTAGCTGTGGGTGGAATGGCAAGATAGTAGTCAATGTCGTGGGTTTTAATAGCTTCTCTATTGGACTCTGCGTGCCACCGATTGCTCAATGTCTTTGAATTGCAATCCGCAACCGTTACCTTCAGCTGCCACATTTCAGCAACAGGGAACAACTCTTCGAATATTTTCCACTGGGAAAACTGTACTTGAAAACCACATTCATATGTGGTGATTCCCCAATCCCCTGCCGAGTAAACACTGGATGAGTGATTATGTGGTCTGAGCAAACAGCATTGCCGGTGAGGGGCAATTTTTATATTTGTCATCAAGTTTATGTGGCTGTATTTAGTGAAACATGTTCTGTGTGTGCGTGTGTGTGTGTGTGTGTGTGTGTGTGTGTGTGTGTGTGTGTGTGTGTGTGTGTGT